CGGCCGCCCCTCCCGGGAGGGAATGGCCTCCCGCCGGGAAACTCCTGCTCCCACGCGGGTCCTCCACTCACCCCCCCCACCGACTGTCGCTCACTCTCTGCGCGTGAGGACCAGCGGTGACTCACTCAGAACCCCGCCGACGCGGCCAGCTCCCTCTCCCCTCTCGGCCGGTCACCACTTCCTTGAAGCCTGCGGCCCAGGCCCCGTCCGCCTCTGCCCAGACCTGCCGGCTCCGAGGTCCCGGCCCGGCCGCCCGGAAAGCAACACAGGCAGCTTCTGGAGGACAGGCCTAAGGGCTCCTGGGCTGGACAGTTCCCAGCCAGCATCCTCCGAGCTGCCTCGCCGGCCCTGTCTCCATCACAGAGAGGGCCCACAGAGAGGCCTGGCCCAGGCTGGCTCGGTGGCCCAGTGGCTAGCACGGAAGGCACACTGGAGGTCCAGCTCCTCACCCCTCGGGCCCACATCCCGCCAGGAGCCAGAGGAGGCAGGTGGGGTGGGATGGGTCTGGCTCTTTGGGGTGCCCCCCACAGACCGCCTGTCCCCACAGAGGATGTCAAGAGGCGCACCAGGTACTGAGGCTGTGCTGGGCTGTCCCAGGGCCAGCCAGAGCGGAACTCCCAGGGGGAGAGCCGACCCTTGGCCCTGCTCTGTGGCACCACTCCCTGAGAGTGAGGGAAGACAAAGCCAGGCTTGGGCAGGAGAGGAGGAAGGCGCCAGGAGGGCAGGAAAGGGCCACTCTGCCACAGGAGAGGCTGGCGGGGAGGCAGCGGCAGCCTCCGCCATGACAGGAGTGGGGTCATCCCTCCCAGGGGTGTCTCTGGTCCAGGCCACATCCCCAGACACCAGGGGTATAACAGGCAGCAGGAGGACCAGCCTCCTGGGGACACTGACCAGAAGGGCCAGAACCTCCCGAGGGGCCTGCTCCCTGGCAGTGGCCAGCGGTGACCAAGGAGTTTCAGTTCTGCCACAGCCCGGACCCAGGTGGGTCTGCCCGATGGCTGCCTCCAGCCCCAGGCTTCGCACCAGGGGCCCTGCCTGCGCCCGGGCCAGGGGGAAGGGGGCTTTGCACTTACTTAGCCCCTCTGAGGAAGCATCTTCTTCTCAGGGCTGAGGCCAGCAGCATGCTTTGCAGCTACGTCGGGGCTCTGGAGGCCTGCGGGAGCGCAGGGTGGCCTGAGGGGCGCTTCCCCATCCCACTCCAGGGGCTCAGGATTGGCGGCTGCAGGGGGTGGGGCCAATGTGGTCACCGCTGGGGGAGGAAGATGCAGCCATGTGGGGGTGAGGGGACTTGGTCTGAGCCCGCAACAGGAAGCGCTGAAGCACCTTCTGCCGGGGCTTGGCTGCAGGCAGGCTGCAGGCGGGCGAAGGGTCCGCGTTCTGACCCCAGCGGGGAGGCTGTGGCCAGCACAGGCCCTCGGTTCTGCAAGCCCGGAAAAAGGCCCAAAGGCACGCTGCAGGCTTCTCGGCCTCTGCCTTGACAAAGGCACTGAGGGCTGGGGCATCTCTGGGGACAGGGACAAGCTCGAAAGCAGCTGCCTCTTCCGGTGCTCCCCCAAGGGAACAGATGTTGACCTCCCAAGGGTAGCTTGTCCTCCTTGCCTTAAAGGTCCCCGAAGAAGGGGAGGCGGCATCCCAGTGCAGCTCCCACTTCTGATCAGTGCAGGCTCACCCCTCCTCACTCTGCCTAGCCTCCAGGGCCATGCAGCCAGAGCAACGCAGCCCCGGGGACCTCGCAGAGGCAGCAGCTGGGCCACATGGAAGCCTGGACCATTCTGGGCCTGGCCATCATCTTCCCTGAGGCATGACCCACGGGGGGGTCAAAACAGAGAAAGGGGCAGCCAGGGCTAATGCCAGAGGCACCCGTGGGCTGACATCAAGTCCTGCTGCACACAAAGGGGGTGATGTCTTCCAGGCGGCACCTGCTCCCGGCTCAGCGACCCGGGAGTTCCTCAGGCTCAGTCATAGCACCTCCGGCCCTGGGCCTTCCTCAGGGCAGGGTCCTCAGGATGGGGGCAGCTCTCAGCCCATGAGATTCAAAGATGCACAGCTGACAGTGTCTTCCATGGGCCGCAAAGCCGTGTGCCCCCCGGCCTGCTGATTCCACCCACTCCGGCACACCGGCCTCCTCGTGTTCCCCAGGAGTGCTAAGCATGCTCCCACCCCAGGGCCTTTGGACATGCGCCCCCAGGGCCTTTTAAGGCTGTGCCCCTCAGTTTTCTGCTTTAACGTCTCCCCAGAACCTGACACTCGAAGGTCTCAGAGGGCAGGACGGAGATATGGTTACGCTGCAGGCTTTGAAGCCAGGCTGCGAGTCCTAACTCTACTCACTTGCAGTAAGACTCTTGGCGAGTGACTGAACTACACACCACGGTTTCCTCATCTGCAAAATCGCTTAACAGCACCCACTCTCTGGGATACTGTGAGGGGGCCCTAGTGCAGAGTAGGTGCCCCCTAATTATTTGTGAGTGGTTGACTCAGGGACCCTCGGGGGTCCACAGGGAAGGGCACGCAGGGGGGGCCTGGCAGGCAGAGGTACAGCAATCCCTGGGCCACCCCCTACTTAGGGCAGAGGAGCCCCTCAAGGTTGCAGGCTCTTCACGGCCATGTCACATCTCTCCTGCCTCACCACCCTCAGAGGCATCAGGGGCCCTGGAACGGGTGCCCTCAAATGAGGTCTGGGCAGAGCCCAAGGCCCGGGAGCCCAAGAGTGGGTGCTGGCCCGCTGAGTTGCTTCCAGAGGAAAACGGGGCACAGTCTAGCACCGTGTGCATCCTCCTGATAGCCGGCTTGGCTGCCGTCAGCCACATGCCCAGGCGGGCAGAGACTTCTCTGAGCTGCATCCCGAACTGCCACGGGATGAGGACACTGCTGGCCTCACCAAATTTGGGGGAGCTGGGAGGACCACACGCTGGGCCAGGAATGCCTGCGTGAGCCACGACGCAGAAACTGTGGCTCTTAGAGTTGTGGGCCCTCCCTCGTAGCAAGATCCTTCCTTGTGTACCGCCACATCAGGGACCGTCTTCTCCCTGCTGCCCCCCTGGGGCCTTGGCCCTCTTCTGGTGACACAGGCGGGCCACTCCAAAGCCAGGTGCATGCATCCTTCTCAGAGCTTTCCTCCCGCGGCTTCCGTTGCTAGCCCACCCCTGTCTCCCAAGACTCCATCTCCTGCCCACCCCACCCCAGGTACAGGGGCCCCCAAAGTTCTTCCCTTGATTCCTCTTGGCCCCATCACAAATCCCATCCACCATCTCGGTGCCAGCTCGGAGGGGGCAATCCTCTCTGGCCTTCCTGCCTCCATGAAGACTCAGACCCCTCGGCCAGTTCTGGGCAAGGCTTCGCCAGGCTGGATGGCCACGGCTCCTCCAACTCAGCACAGACAGGCACGGGTCCTTCCCACCAGTGTCAACAGACTACCACCTCACCAACACCTGCCCTACCATTCGCCAGTCTGCACTCCCTCTCCAAAGCCTCTGACCTCTTCCGTCTGCAGGGATGTGGAATGAGAAGGCCAGGCTTGAGTCCTAGCTCTCACCACTGCCACCTTCAGCAAGGTAAGTGATTTCTCTGAGCCTCTACCCCTCACAGGCAAACTGGGCAAGGATGGTCCCTTGTATGACTAAAGTGAATGAACGAACATGAAGAGTGCTTGACAGGCAGTAGCAAACATGACGAATGCTTGCCAAAAAAGTTTTTGGGTTGGAGTTTTACTCTGTTGTCCTGCTGGAGTGCAATGACACAATCGCAGCTCTCCACAGCCTAGATTTCCTGGGCTTAGGTGATCCTCCCCACCTCAGCCTCCTGAATAGCTGGGACTACAGGTGCACACCACCACGCCTGGCTAATCTTTTAATTTTTTGTGGAGATGAGGTCTTGCTATGTTGCACAGGCTGGTCTCGAACGCCTGGGCTCAAGCAATTCTCCCGCCTTGGCCTCCCAAAGTGCTAAGATTACAGGCATGAGCCACCGTGCCTGGCTGTCCCTTCTATACCGGAAATTCTCTCCATTTTCAGTCACTGTCCCTGATCAGGCTTCATGAGCTCGGACCCCTGAGCTGTTTTGATGGTCCTTTTCCTGCCTTGTTACCACCAGCTGCCCGCCAGGATGGCATTCTTCAACAACACGTTTGTCCAAGTCCCTCCCTGCTTTCTGCTGGCTCATTTCTGCCTTCAGAAGGCCCTTATCTTGGCATTCAGGACCCTTCACAACTCTGCTTCTGATGACGGCCCTTGACTTACTCTGTTCCTTCCACATGAGTTGTTCCTGATCCTTCAGAAGTCCACTCTGTCCCACCTCTGTGCAGGTAGTTCTCTGTTGTTGAGAACCTCTTTGCTCCCCGAAGCTTTCCTTCTGAGCCCCAATTTTGAACCCTGGGGCATGGCCTGCCTCTCTTTCAGCCTCACCAGCTAGAGTGGGTACCATGTGTGCATTTCACTCACTGGCTGTGTGACTTCTGTCAAGAGAATTAACCTCTCTGTGTCCCAATTTTTCTCTCTGGCGAGTAGAGAGAACATAATACCTATGCAAAGTGCTTAGAACAGTGGCTCTGACCAAATGCTAGAAAATGTGAGACATTATTCCTAAAAAAGGAAAAACAGAAAAACAAATTTTGCCAGAAGCCTAAAATTAACTCCTGGTGGTGGCTATCTTGACCCCGGCTGGGTCAGCTTCCCTTCTTTAGGGCACTCTCCTCCCTGAACTTGGCCTTTTGTTGGCTGCGCCTGCAATTCCTCCCCCCGCCCCAGTTCTCCACCCAGGTAATCCCACGGCCTCGAAGGCCCTTGCTCTGGCCCGGTGGCCAACTCCAAGGCTATGCCCTGTACTTGATTCTCAGGATGGTGCTACCGGGTGACTGGGCCACCTTCGGGTCCCTATGTCCTCAGCCCCAGCCCTGATCCCACTTTCCTCACATATGTGGGTGGGAGGCGTGAAGGCCAGGGCTGGTCTTACGGAGTTACGCAACTTCACAACCAGCCTGCGGGCCACTGAGGTGGATCAGCTTTTCTCAAGGCCGGGTTTTTCTTCCCCTTCCCCAGAGCACGAGAACTCAGAAGGCAGAGGCACTTCCCCTCGCCTAGGTGCCAGCAAGCCTTGGAAATACTGGCTGAAGTGCAGTGCTCTCCTACCAGCTTCTTAGAGATCTCGAATGACAAAACAGGAAGGCCTCTGGGGTCTTCTAGTCAAAACACCTCATTTTACAGCTAGGGAAACTGAGGCCAAGGACTCCCTGGAAATCACAACCAGGACAGCACCAGGAGGAATACCCGGTTCTCCCAGATTCCTGGCCCAGCCTGTCTTCTCTAGCGGGCCTCGCTTAGGGCAACATAGGCCCTGGGCACCCCACCCTACCTGAAGCAGTCTGCGTGCCAGTCCGCATTCAGGGCCTGGAGGTACTGGCCGTCATAGATCCTCTGGCCGCAGCTCGCACACACGGGCAACTCGCTTCCTGCAGGGGCAGAAAGGGAGTTAGAGGCTATTCTTAGGAGGCGTGGCTTGGTGCAGGCCCGGCGTGCACCTGCACAAATGCTTGTGTGCACACACATGTACCCACAGCTCCCCGGCTGGGTGGTCACTGTGCCAAGCAGGAGGAGAAAGGATGCAGGCTTGAGAGTCTCGCCGAGACACCGGCTAAGTTACCAAGCCTCTCTGAACCTCGGTTCCTCTATCTGTAAACCTAGGAGGAGGATCAGATGTCCGCCCTCCGGCTACGGCATTCTTCATCTTGTGGTCTGGCCAGGTAAACAGGGAGAAAGCAAGCAGTGGATTCAGAAATAAGGCAGTGGGTGATGCTCGTCACTGCCCATTGTTGACCCTGCCTGCCTAGGAAAATGTACTCAGAGGGCCCTCCAGGGATTGGACAGGGCTTGAAGCCCCCTGGGAGGGGAAGGACAGGAAACTCAGAGGTGCTGGCCCTTGGAGCCTTGGCTATGCCCTGGCTTGGCGAGGGGCAGGGGTACGGAGCCCAGGACTCCCAGACACCTGCCCAAAGAGGCCTGGCACCTCCGCAAGCCAGCTACTGAGCATGCTTAGTCATCCCTGGGTTGGCACCCTTGGAGCTGGTGGGCCCTGGAAGATGCCCCCAGCCTGCCCCTCCCCATTGACAAACAGGGACACTGAACCCCGGAGAGAGCAAGGCTTGCCCGGCCACACGGCTAGGTTTCAAGGCCACGGTGGCCTGTCCCTCCTGAAGACCCAGGGAGCTCATGTAAGGGCAACGGGGAGGTGGGCCCTTTCTCCAAAGCAGGTTTCCATGGGCCTAGGGAGGGCTGATGGTGGGGGTGAGGGCAGGGCTG